TCCATGTGTATAGTCATCTCCTATGCTGTCTAAAGAAGGTGTTTGAAATGAACAAATCATTAGTTTTGCAGAATTCTATCACTCATTCTCCAGCATCATTTCTATCACCAAGGCCATATTTTCCAACTACTGATCCTTCCTCTTTGTTCCCAACCTTTGCTTTCCAACCACCAGTAATAATCAATACATCTTTATTGCTTTTTTAATCAAATGCGGATTGAAGAAGTTGGTAAAATTCTTCTATTTCAGCCTCACTGGCTTTAGTGGTTGATTTGTAAATTTGAATAATAGTGGTATTAACTGAGCTTCCCTGTAGGTGCATGAATATTATCCTATCACAGACAGTGTTGTAACTCATAACTGATCTGGATATGTTCTTTTTGACAATGAATGCAACACCATTCCTCTTCAATTTGTCATTGCAGGCATAGTAAACCATGTGGTCGTCAGATTAAAAATGGACAATACCAGTCCATTTCAGCTCACTAATGCCAATGCCTAAGATATCGATGTTTATGTGTTCCATTTCATTTTTGACAACTGCCAGTTTTCCCAGATTTATACTTCATGCATTCATGTTCTGATTTTCAATGGATGTTTACAGCTGTTTCTCTTCATTTTGAGTTGTGCCCCATCTGCAAACGAAGTTCTCACGGGCTTTTCTCCCATGGGCTTTACTCTTCACGTCAACTCTACTTTGAGGAGGCAGCTCTTCCACAGTCGCATTTTGAGTGTCTTCAAACCTGATGGGCTCATTTTCTAGCACTATATCTGACAGTGTTTCTCTGCAATTCATCAGGTTTTCAGTGACTAAGTATTTGGAAGTAGTTCGTCACTCTTTCTCTCTAGTCTGTCTTCATCTGGAAGCTCATCTGAAACCTGTCCACTATGGGTGACCCTGCAGGTATTTAAAATACTAGTGGAATAGCTTTCAGAATCACAGCAACTCACAAGCCACCACAGTACGACAAATTGACAGGACAATAAATGCTGGCAAGGATGTGAAGAGACTAGGACGCTCCTGCATTGCTGGTGGGATTGCAAAATGGTGCAGCCTCTCTGGAAAGCAATATGGTGCTTCCTCAGAAGGTTGGAAATAGAAATACCTTATGATCCAGCAATTCCTCTACTTGGTATTTACCAACAAGAAACATGAGCCATAACACAAGTAGATGTATGCACACCAATGTTCATAGCAGCACTATTTACTATAGCAAAAAGATGGAATTAGCCTAAGTGCCCATCAAATGAAGAATGCATAAACAAACTGTGGTACATAAACACGATGGAATATTGTGTTAACTTGAAGAATAACAAGGAAGCTGCAAGCCACCGCAGAACATGGATGAACCTTGAGTACATTATGCTGAGTGCAATTGTCAGTCACAAAAGGAGAAATACTGCATAGGACCACTACTGTAAAAGACTAAGAAACGGTACCCATACTAAAGGGGAGGGTATTCTTTGCAGGTTACTGGTATGTGGGGGCTGGGGGGAGGGAAGGGAGGGGAAGGTGGAGCACAGGGTAGGAAATAGACACAGCATAGTTTGGGTGCTAGGGAGGGGGGCAATACACAAGAATTGGGAGGGGAGTGGAAGAACAAAGCGGATGGGAAAACAATTAGGCAGGTTTGCATGGGCTAAGTGGGACAGAGGTAAATAATGATGTATGCACACCCTTGGAAAAACAGGGCTCTGGGATATAGGGATTGAGACATGGTTAGAACGGGGAAAAGTGGGGAAATAATGTTAAGATGCCTGGCTGTCTTTTGAATCTTTGTTTCCCTGGCATACCATTATAAAATAGACATTTGAAGGGAAGAGAAAGGAATAGCCAGAAATGTCACCCTAGAAAGTTTGTAAGTCTGTCTTCTGCCTATAACTGATTAGAATACCAAAAATGGGGCTACAATGTGCCCAGTGAAGGAGGCTTCCTGCGGGACCTCTGCATTACATAAGACCATAGGTAGAATCCTGAACTGCATCCAGAATCTTCTGAGGTGGGAAATTTCCACTGGAAAGGACAAGGAGACCAGCCTGGAGCAGCTAGAAGAACAGAAGATACATCTTGAAAGAAAGACCGACAGAAAAATTACAAAATATAGGCAGTCCGACTGATCAGTACAAGAACAAGCAAGTTGCTCGTCCAGGAGACATCAAGTCAAGTGTTTGGGTACCCTCAGGGCAAACCCTCTTCCAAGACTCTAAGACTCAATGGGAATACATGCTCTGATTGGTGACCACATTCGTCACCGATAAGGTGTGTGCTGACGATCGCGGTGCAGGCTTTGGTTGGTTGATGATGTATGGAAGGGAATGTAACCATGGCAATGAAATGATATACGATAGACTGAACGTAAAACTAATGTTCTCCCATGTAAACTATCACATAATTCATAATAAAACATTAAGAAAAAAAAAGCTAATGAGCAACCATCTAGGATGCAACTATCAGGCTATCCAAGTAGAGTGATGAGAATTGAAGATGCTTAGAAGCAATTTGTTCAATGGATTAATGGAGCAGTGAATGTTAGTCTCCATGATTCTGAGACTAGAACAACTAGGTGGTGCCTGACTACTATTGCCCACTCTTCTGAAAGGGATCACATTAGAAGGTCCTAGAGTAGGAAACACTGTGGAACAAAACTCAAAATTATAAAAAGTCCGGGCTTACTGGTCAGAAAGAGACTGAAGGAACCCAAGACTAAGACCCTCACCACCATTCAGGTCTGGACCAGAACTCACCCTCATGGCCAATTTTCAGCCAAGTGGTGCTAGGTTTATAGGGAGACAACAACACTTGTGAGGTTTGCTTACCATGGAATGGTCACCATTCAAGATCAAAGGGGCAATATTCACCTGGGGACAAGGTAAAGTCAGATTGCTTGGGAAGGAGTGCTGAATGGAAATTAGAACCATAGGAAGGAAGTGGGATAACTGCTATTACAAGGAAGGGATTGCAGTAACTGAGATGAAACAAAGTGTGTGATTTGTATGATCTACAACTGATGATCTGCTCTGCAAACCTTCACTCAATTCACAATAAAAAAGTTTCAAAAATATAAAAAAATAAATTTCATCAGTTTCTCTTTTCATGTGTTGTTATATCTCCTAGAACATGTGGAGTCATTCCTGAGGCTGTGTTTCTAATGGATTAATGATGGTGTCGCTCTAGGCCAGCTGTGTGACCAAAGCCTGCCTGATCTTCTGTCAGGTCCCTGAAGAAGCAGCCGGCTCCTCCCAGAGCTAATTTGTCCCTCTGGGATCTCGCCTCCTCCTGAACTCTGTAAAGGCATTACTTTTTTTAATCCAAATTCCCAGGACATTTGTGCAACCCAAAGGAGAACTTTCGGGGAACTCTGGAGTCAAGTTGCTGAATGACAAGGGTTGGTGCCAAGTCACGGCAGGCTTTCTCTGGGAGGGCGGAGACTAAACATAATGAGCTGCCTAGACTTAGATTTGGAGGATTAAGGATGAAGTAATGAAGGTATTTTGTTCCTACCTCTCCCTATACTCTGAAGTGAAATAGAATTAAAATGTAAATAGGTCTTTTACCTTTTTAAAGTTAGCATTACAGCTTTCTAAAGTTGTAATGATAACTTTAAAAAAAGGTAAAAGATTTGCCTTTCCATGGACTTCAAAACAGGAATAAAATAAGCTTAATGCAACTTTGGTGGAATTTTCTTGAGAGAAATGAGTTTTATACATCCTATGCTCAGAGCACGCTGTATTGTTTTAAGAGCTTTGAAAATGCCTTAAAACTAATTCAATAAAATCACAATGAGGTACATTACTACAAGACTTCATTATATTATATTAACAAAATGAGGAAATATTATTTTGTTATATTAACAAAATGAGGAAAGATAATCTATGATCTCATAGTTTTAGGCAATATAATTAAACCATATTTACTTTTTGCTACATTATAAAAAGAATTGAGGTGCCCTGGTAGCATAGTGGATTATGAGCTGGGCTGATAGCAGCAAGGTTAGTAGTTTGAATCTATAGGTTGCTCCACGGGAAAAAGATGAGGCCTTCTGCTCCTATAAAGATTTACAGACTCTGAAACTCTATCTGGGGTTGCCATGAGTTGACATAGACACAATGGTGTCTATGTCAGGAGACATCAAGTCAAGTGTTCGGGTACCTTGATTCTCTTTGTGGTAATGGAATGGCACCATAGGATAAGCACTCGACCTCAAGATGAGTTTGAACTGCAAGACAGACAGTTCAAACTCACCAGCCGCTCAATAAAAAAACCCTATATAGGGTGACTATGAGTCAGAACTGACTCCATGGTACTTAACAACAACAACATTGGCAAAATATTAAATGATGCAGAATACACAGTAGTTAGTGCTTAGCTGCTAACCAAAAGGTCAGCGGTTGGAACCTACAAGTCTCTCTTGTATCTAGCTGAGCGTTCATCAGCTGAGCGATCTTGGGGATCAGCAGGTGGGTTTAAACTGATGTCCTTGCAGTTAACAGCCCAGTGATTATCCTATTGTGCCAGAAATTACAGCCTAGAAAACATTATGGGGTATTATGACTGTTACATAGAGTATGTTATGAGTTGGAATGGACTCAATGCCAAACAACAACAAAGCTATGCATACATTTCTTTTAATGTATGCATTGATAGGAAAATGTTAAAATAGCAAGACTGAAACTGTTTTCTGTGTTTAAGAGTTCATTCATAACACGCCATTTGACATATTCTCAGAGTGCAAAAGCAGTTCAAACCACACAATTATAGCATTTTAAATGTTTTTGTTGTTGTTGTTGTTATGTGCTGTCCAGTTAGTTCCGACCCATAGTGACCCTGTTTTGGGTTTCCGAGGAGCAGCTGGTGAGCTTGAACCGCCGATCTTGCAGTTCAAACAACTTTTCAGTCTGACGCATTAACCCATAGCACCAATGAATATGACATTTCACTATTCTAAAACTTCTCTAGCTTACAAACCAGTAATATTACTCAAAATTCAGCATGTACTTACAGGAAACAGATGGAAAACAAAATCCATAAAGTCCAGCGACCTATAACAAGAGAGTCATATTGTTACTGACCTGCTGTAGAAGCATATTTTTTCAAGAAATCTATGGCTCCTTTCCCCTCCGGTGGCGATTAGCTAACCACTAGCCAGAATTTGTGTCTAGCTGAGCATTTTATCCGCTGCAGAGGTCACAAGCTTCATATTTTAGTAATAACGTATTTTTTATTACTATTACAGCATTATTGCAATTAATCATCTCTGTATGTTCGAATAACCAATACAGAAAACTTTCATTATGGGGTTACAATCCTTGCCTTCCTTTCCGGAAGAACTGGGAGGAAATGTGAGCATATGATCTTTTCCTTTTTTAAATGCAATGCTGCAGATGGATATTCACAGACAAACCATAATAAGTCATGGGAGTTCTGTTTGAAAATTCAAAAGCTAAATTCTAAGCACAAGCTTATCTAAATGCACAGGGAAAAATAAATATAAAACAAGAAATTTAGAATGGCTTCCCAAGCTTTTTAGATATCTACAATGTCATTTTCCTGTGTCCTGGTGTTATGCTGTAGGATAAGCACTAGACTGCTAACACTGCAAGGTCGGCAGTTCAAGCTCACCAGCCACTCCTTGGGAACCCTATCAAGGGTCACTGTAAGTCAGATGGATCCTGGATATAAGTAGAGAATACCAGAAAGATGTTTACCTGTGCTTTACTGACTACGCAAAGGCTTTCGATTGTGTGGATCATGAGAAACTATGGACAACACCATGAAGTATGAGTATTCCCGAACACTTAATTGTACTTACGAGGAACCTGTACATGGACAAGAGGCAGTTGTTCTAAGAGAACATGGGAACACTGATTGGTTTAAAATTAGGAAAGGTGTACGACAGGGTTGTATTCTTTTACCATACTTATTCAACCTGTATGCTGAGCAGATAATCTGAGAAGCTAGGTTATAGGAAGAAAAATGTGGCATCAGGATTGGAGAAAGACTCATTCACAAACTGCAATATGTACATGATACAACCTTGCTTGCTGAAAGTCAAGAGGACTTAAAATACTTACTGATGAAGATCAAAGAGCACAGCCTTCGGTATGGATTGCATCTCAAAGTAAAGAAAACAAAAATCCTCACCAATGGACCAATAAACAACATTCTTATCAATGGAGAAAAGACTGAAATTGTCAAGGACTTCATTCTTCTTTGATCAACTATTAACACACTGAAGCAGCCGTCAAGAAATCAAACAACGTATTGCATTAGGCAAATCTGCTGCACAAGACCTTTTTAAAGTGTTGAAGAGCAAAGATGTCAGCTTGAGGACTAAGGTACACCTAACCCAAGCTATGGTATTTTCAATAACCTCACATGCATGCGAAAGCTGGACAGTGAATAAGAAGACCACAGAAGAATTGATGCTTTTGAGTTATGGTGTTAGAGAAGAATATTGGGCTGCCAATAGAACCAACAGTTCTGTGTTGGAAGAAGTGCAGCCAGAGTGCTCCTTGGAGGCCAGAATGGCCACACTTGTCTCTCATACTTCGGACATATTGTCAAGAGGGACCAATCACTGGAGAAGGATATCATGTTAGGTAAGGTGGAGGGTCAAAGAAAAAGAGGAAGACTTCCAGCAAGATGGATTGGCAAAGTGACAGCATAAATGGGCTCAAACATGGCAACAATTATGAGGTTGGCCCAGGACTGTGCAGTGTTTCATTCTGTTGTACACAGGGGTGCTATGAGTCGGTACCAACTCGATGGCACCTAACAACAACAATAACAACAACAACATGTGTATACAAAGTTTACATCACAACAGTGAGGAATGGAAAGATTGCTCTACAAATAGTGGGACAAAACTCGATGGAACCTAACAACAACAAATGAATCAGAATCGACTCAATGATACTTAATAACACAACAACAACATCATTAGGAAAAATGTTTTGAATTTCCTTTCAACCTTCAAAATCTCCAAAGAAGACTAAACTTGTAAGGGAAGAAAAGTACAAGTAATACAAGGTGAGAGAGAGTGTATTTAACTACATCCTCCAAATATGGCACTATTGATCATAAATATCACCAAACGATCACTATCAGTAGTGCTCTTAATCAACTAAAGAATCATCAGTTTTTAGCATTCAGATACTCTAGAACTTTCCAGCTTATAAAAACTTATCAATCTTTTTTTCTTTTCAATATTGTTCTGTTGGAAAATGTGGTGGAGTAGGTAGGGGTCCTAAATTAGATGTGGAATCTAGACCCCAGGGGCAGTAGCCACATCCAAACTGTCTGGGGTCATGAGCACAGACCTGAACCAACACAAAGTAGGGTGACTGGCGTGGTGGACACTGGAGGGTTGCTGACCAGTATCCATGGCGCTTCTTTCCAGCAGCTTCTATGGTTGGTTGCTTGGTCTCCTATCATTCCTCTTTCCAAATCATATGTTTGGGAAAACTCCAACCCCAGGTCTAGGGTGGACATGAGGCATACCTGAATGAGCCAACAAACACATGGCACTGTCTGACCCCAGCCACTGGCTCAGGAACACGTACACAGCACCAATCAGTCGAATGTCATTCTGGAGTAAGTAGGTCCCAAAGCAAAAGAACCGTCCTCAGGCTGGGGAAGAGGAGTGTGGGGTGTAAAGTCTAGGAACTGTCCTGGCCACAGGAGGAGGGACACTATTTGGAAAATGTGACCAACAGCAGGAAGGCAGAGCTGAGTGATGGACAGAGAAACTGATGTGGCCATATAAGACCTAGATCGATTCATATTTAAAATCAGTCTCATTACTGGATTTCTCCCCAGTTATGGAAAGCATGACTTCACATTTTAAAAACTGGTTTGGTTTCAGATGGTACCCATTTGACCTAGTTTCAATGGCTGGATGATCAGAACTTGACTAGAGGCAGATAAAAAAAAAATTTTTTTTTGATAAAGAAAACAAGTATAAATTGCTACAATTTTATGAACTTGACCTATACTTATGAATGTAATAGCTTAAAATATCAACCAAGAGGGAAGGAATCTTCACAGCAAGGATCATTCCCATCCCCTCTGTACACAGGGTTGATAGAGATGGGCAACTTAGACATTGGGTATGTAAAATAGTAGGGCTATAAAGGCGTGGCATGACTGGCTTACAAGTTTTCAAGAGGAAGTTTAGTTTCAGAGTGTGCGGGGGAAGGTAGAATCTCCGCTGAGTGGTTTTCATCCTGTCTAGATGGGGATGGTGAAAGGAGATGGGGATAAGACTCTTATGATTCAGTACTGAGTAATTGTCATGACTAATTAAAATTGTCACAACTATAAAGGTAAAAGTTTTGTAGCAAAAAGTGGGTAGTAGTTGATCTTACAGTCCAGGAGTAGAGGACTTTGGGACCATCAAATCAAGGGAAAAGAGAAGGAGCAGAGTGTGGGACCCTATCCAGAGAAGTAGCAACGCCAGAGATGGAGGCAGAAATGATGACGTGGAGAGATGAAGCAGCTGAGGACTCTAACTCATGGAGAGAGAGGGGATGTGTGCTTGCAGCTGGGGGACCAAGCTTTCAGGGTATGCCCTTGGGTTGCTTGAATGATTGTATATTCCCGAGTGTTTTGGTGTATATATATACATATATAAAACAACAACAACAACAGAGGGAATAGAAGCACATACTGTTGAATGAAGATGCATCGAGGGGATTGTAATCATTGCAGTGAAACGATATAGGATGAGCGTAAAACTGATGTACCCTATCACTCAATTCAAATAAAAACTTAAAAAAAAAAAAAGAAGCTAGTTTGGGTTGAATTGTCTGCCACTGGGAACCAAAAGACTAAAGAAGCAGCAACCCAAATCCAAAGTCCCACAAAATGATAATTTTATAGGGTAGGGAGCAGCATTTGACTTTGTGAGAGATAATTTTCCAGATCTTCAGTTGCTGCATAGGTGAGTCACACCCTGGCACCTCTATTACCAAGTTGGGTGCTTTACCAGTCCAGACTCTTTCGGGATGGGGCCCAGGAATTAGGGTTTAAAAAAAACACTTTCCCAGGAGATAATGACATATAGCCAGCTTTGGAAACTGCTGGCTTTACAAAATAAAAATATCAGGCCACTACTCTCATAAGGAAGTTATAACACAATCAAAAACCTGGTCAGAACTTGCCTTGCTTCATGCTTCTCATCAATACAAAACAGCTGAATACAAAAAGCAGTTGATGCTCCCTTGTAGCTGGGACGGAAATTGTTTATCTCCTTGAGCAGTAAGATGGATGCTGAACTCTCGCTGCTGACTTCATATTCTACCTCCTCAACAATGGAAACTTCACTGAGCTTTTCAATGTCCTAGAGCAAGGAGAGATGAAGAACTAAATGGAAATCCTATTCATTTTCTAGGGAAAGACGCACCATCCCTACCTTGTACCAGGGCAGGTGTGAATGCCTCACCAGGAACAAGTCATCCTAAACCAGGCCTAATTTTTAGGCAATGTTCTTAATGAAAGATCAAAAATTTACAAGATGATTAAAACAAGTTGTTACAAAATGGCCAGAAAATGAATTATTTCAGTTGTCTTTTGTTAAAGAATCCATATTTTAACCACATCAGTGGATAGAAATTAGAGCTGTGACACTCTGGGATAAGCACTGGACCACAAGGTCAGTTAGAACAGCAAGGTCAGCGGTTAAAATTCAGAAACCCTAGACAAGGTCTCTATGAGTCAGATCCGAATCAACAGCACATAACACCAGCAGCAGTGATATTTGTATTTGTATTAATTGTATGAGCAAAGTTACTTCTTTACCAAAGAGTTTTCATTGTGCTTTTGTGATTCGAGAATTTGGGGTTCTTGAGACTGCCTGCTGGTTCCAGGACTAAACTTGGTGGTGAGGTGGAGACCAGGAAGGGTTCAGTTGCCACGGCCACCTAAAGTTCACATTGAGTCTAGACTTTGCTCATCTCAGCGGCACCTAAAAAGATGCTATGATTAAGTTAGAGGAAAAGGATTCATTTTGACATACAGACCCTTAGTACAAAACTGTACCAGGAGGAAGCAGTGCCTGGACAAATGTATATGAATGATACTGAAAGAGCATATGGGAGTCCTGGTGTGGCACTGTGCGTTAATGCGCATCTAAAGGTCAGTGTGAGCCACAGACTGGTAGTTCAAGCATGTCAGTCGCTCCTCGGAAACCCTATACAGGGTCGCTATGAGTCGGAACTGACTTGATGGCACTTACCAACAACAACATGAGCATACGAGGGTACATAGGACACACATAATTAGAGAAATTTACATGCTTTTTTTCTGCTCCAAAACCAAAAGAAAAAAATTGTACCTAATAAATTTGTTACAAATAATTGATGCTGAAAATACAACTTTAGTTCTAAATTGTGTAGTAGGGCCTATCGGATAAAGGACTGATCACATAGGTATACAAGTTAATCAGAGGGAGCTTTGGAGAGAAATTCCTAAAGAGGGCAGTAGAAATAAACTGGCAGAGGCACGAACAGTCTAAACCATGTGAGGTCAACTAGTAGTATGCATGGGCCCAGTTCAACCCTGACCTCAATGTCACTGCCGTATTCACTTTGAACTGTTGATAGAGATTGCTCAGTCACAGCTTCATCACCAAGTTTTTCCTGCAATGACAAGAGCAAGACAGAAGAATTCATCAACACCACAGCAGTTTCAGCCTAGACTCTGATGCCTGGGCTTAAATCCTGACCCAAGTGTGTGACATGGGAGAAATTATGTAGCCTCAGTTTTCTTATTGTCCAAAGGAATAATAACAATTTTTACCCTGTAACATTGTTATGGAGTCCTCATGTGTCACTGTAGGATAAGTGCTGAACTGCTAACTGCAAGGTTGATTGTTCAAACCCACCAACCACTCCTTGAAAACCCTATTTGGGGTCACTATGAGTCATTACTTACTTGATGGTACTTAACTACAACAAGCTTGTTATGGTGGGAATGCAGTGGCTCTGTAGGACCGCAAACCACAAGGTCAGTTATTTGAGTCCATCAGCTGCTACACAGGAAAAAGATGAGGCCTTCTGCTTCCAAAAAGATTTATAGCCTTGGAAACCCTATATAAGGTTGCTATGAGTTGAAATCAACTCCACATCACTTAACAACAACAAAGTTGGAATAAGGAAAATAATAAAGATATATATGCTTAGCACAGGGCCAACAGATACATTACTAACTAATATGATTATTAGATATTATTAGTAATTATTCTAGCTCTTTTGTGTAACTTGTACACTAAGTTTTTTAAAATAGTTTTATTGAGGTGTAACTGATATACAATAAAGAACATATATTTAAAGAGTACATTTTTAAAAAGTTTTGACTTCTATAGGCACCCATGAAAATATTACAATTTAGAAAATGAACTCCCAAAAGTTTGTATGTTTATACATATTCCTTTCTGCTTTTTGTCACTATAAAATAGTTTGTATTTTCTGGGATTTTATATAAATGTCATCATATAGTATGTACTCGTTTTTTGTATGGCTTCTTTCACTTGTCATAATTACTTTGAAATTCATCCTCTTGTGGCATGTATCAATAGTTCTTTCCTTGTTGCTGTCATCCTTGGGAACCCCTATACAGATTTCCATGAGTCAGAACCAACTCAACAGCACTTAACGATGACAACAAGAACAGTGACTAATGAGTTTGAGCATCGTTTCATATTATATAACTTCTTTTAGAAAGTGTTCAAATCTTTTGACCATTTTTTAATCAGGTTATTTAGCATTTCTTATTATTGTGTTTTGAAAAATTGTATATTCTAAAAAAATTCCCTCATCACATATATGGCTTTCAAATATTTTTTTTTCTAGAAATTGTAGTCTTCGTTTTACATTTAGGTCTATATGAAAATGGCATGGAAAACCACATGTGACCTCACTCTACAAGTGGGAAGGAGAATCAAACTCAACATCAGACCAGGGTGGATTCCTATGAGGGGAGATAGATATATCTCCATCCTCCGATGTCAAACTTCTTTACAAGTTTGACACCAAGCATCCTTCCCCAAGACACTCTCTATTTCTCTGCTGGGTTCAATAATTCATTGCAATGGCCACACAAAACTCAGACAGCACTCACAATTAGCCTCTTCTTAGCCATGTCCACAGGCCCACCTCTCTCTAGTCTTCAGTCTCTTTGCTATGTGGCTCCTTGGCCTTTGTCCTGCTCCGACAATGTTACAAAGATCTTTTAGCACTGCTGATAAATGCCCAAGGGCACTCCACAATGCCTTAAGTAACCATGAGTTCCAAGATGATCAACGCTAGCTTCATGGGGTAGCAAACCTACCCTGCCCTTCCCTACTTCACCCCTCTAACTCAGTGCCAAGAAGCCCCCGACTCCAAAAGTAATCCACCTGCCCGAAGGCACTTAGCTTTACTTGGTCAGTGGTTTGGGAAGCCCTCAGCTCTGCCTCCTGTTCTTGGTTCTGTGGCTCTGCCACTTCTTTGCCACTCCCTTAACATCACAGCTCTCAGACTCATGGGTCAAAGAGGTTCAACACACCGAGATCTTTAAGTTCAAAGGACGTTCTCCACTTCTTACTCTTCTTTCTTGATGGTAGTGGGATTCCCATGATAGCTACTGAGATGACTCATTTTAAACCCAGAAGGATGAACAAAACTGACCAATACCCACAGTGAAGTTCCATACACCCTATTTGCATGGTCCCACCCAGTCACTTAGTGGGAGTTACGAAGACTAGAAGAACCATATCAAATAATTCACTGCATCACAATCTATGATCCATTTGGAGTTCATTTACGTATATGGTATGAAGTATGGATTGAGCTCTTTTTTATTTTTGCATACGGATATATACAATTATTTAAGCACCGTTTGCTGTGAACCTTTATCAAAAATTAGTTGTCTATATGAACATACGTTAAATCCTCTGGATCGTCTGTTCTGTTCTACTAATCTGTTGTTTGGCTTTGACATCAACACTATACTATCTTAATTACTAGAACTTTTATATAAAGTTTTTAAATCAATTAATGTTTGTCCTCTGACTATTCTTTTCAAAGTTGTTTTAGCTACTGTACACCCTTTCCATTTTCATATGAATTTTGGAATCAATTTATATATTTTTATAAAAGTTCCTTTCATTAGAGTTGGAGTAAATCTACAAATCAATCTAAAAAGAATTGACATCTCAACAATATTGGATCTTCTAACCTATGAACACAGAGAGCTAGGGTAGCGTAGTGGTTATGAATCAGGCTGCGAACCGCAAGGTCAGCAGTTCAAAACTACCAGCTGTTCCACAGGAGAAAGATGAGGCTTTCTGCTCCAGTAAAGATTTACAGCCTAAGAAACCCTGTACAGGGTCGCTATGAGTCGGAGCTGACTCCACGGCACATCACAACAACAACAACCCATGAACACAGTGTTACTTTCCAATATTGTTGAGATGTCAATTCTTCTTAGATTGATTTGTAGATTTACTCCAACTCTAATGAAAACTCCTACAGGAACTTTTTGGATTTCTCACAGTAATGTTTTGTAGTTTTTTATTACACAGATCTTCAACCTGCTTTTGTCAGATTTATCTCTATTTCATGTATCTGTAATATTGCAATAGTATTTACTTCACTTTCTAATTGCTGTTCACTGATATTATACAATTTATTTTTGTATAATAATTTTGTATGCGTTCAGTAACCTTGCTAAATTATCTTACTAGTTACTGAAGCTTTTTAATAGATTCTGTCAGATTTTCTCCAAAGAAAATTAAGTTATCTAGGAGTAAAAGATGGTTTTCATTCTTTCTTTCCAATCTGAGTATCTTTTAAAACTTCTTTTCTTTGCTATTTTGAGAAGCCTCAAACTACCAGTACAATTCTGAATAGAAGTGGTGAAAGCAGATATCGTTTTCTTATTCTAACCTTGGGGAAAAAACATGCACCTCTTTATTGTTAAGTATGACGTTGTCATTAGATGCTACAAAATCTGTTCTGACTCACAGCGACCAAATGCACAACAGAAAGAAACATTCCTGCGCCATCATCAAAATTGTTTTTATGTTTGAGTACATTGTTGCTGCCGATGTGGATGTATCAATCCATCTCATTGGGGTTCTTCCCTTTTTCATTAATCTTCCACCTTATTAAGAATGTCTTTCTACAAGACTGGTATCTCCTGACAATGTATCCAAAATACAAGCGATGAAGTCTTACCATACTTGCTTCTAAGGAGTATTCAGACTTTTAAGATAGATGTATTAGTTCTTCTGGCAATATTCTTATTCTTCTCCAACACCATAATTCAAATGCATCAATTTTCCTATGGTCTTCTGTATTCATTGTACAACTTTTACATGCATATGAGAAAATTAAAAATACCATGGCTTGGGCCAGGAGCCCCTTTCTCCTCAAACTGACATCTTTAACACTTTAAAGACTTCTTTTGAAGCAGATTTTTCCAATGAAATACTTCATTTGATTTCTTTTTTATTCTGGGGGGTGAGTGGGTAGGTAAGGGTATATAGGAGTAAGGAGTTAGGGTTATATCTATGACTAAGTCTAGGCAAAGCCCAGGACTTTACTAAGTGTTAGGCTTATGGTTACAACTAGGGTTAATTTAATGGTAGGAGTTGGGCTATGGCTAAGAGCAAGGCTTGGTTGGTCTACTTTAAGTGCTACAGTTAGGTATATATATATATATATATATATTTTTTTTTTTTCTTGAAATCAACCATTTCTTTTTGGTACAGTGATTCTGTATTCCTATTTTCTTTTGATGCTTTCTGCATCATTCAATAATTTGCACATAGAATCCTTCAATACCACAAGTCATTCTTGAATTTTTTCTTCAGTTCCCTCAGCTTGAGAAACGCTGAGTGTGTTCTTCCCTTTTGATTATCTAACTCCAGGCTTTTGCACATTTCATTGTAATATTTGACTTTGTCTTCTCGAGCCGACCTTTGGAATTTTCTGTGTAGTTTTTGTACTTCTTCACTTCTTGTGTATGCTTTAGCATCTCTAAATGGTGAGCAAGTTTCAGAGTCTCTTCTGACATCTATTTTGGTCTTCTTTCTTGTCTTCTTAATGACCTTTTGCTTTCTTCCTGTATGATGTTCTTGATGTCATCCCACAACTCTTCTGGTCTTTAGTGTCTAATGCATCAAATCTGCTCTTCAGATGATCTCTAAATTCAGGTGAGATGTGATTTAATGTAATATTTTGGCTCTCATGAAATTATTTTAATTTTCTTCAGCTTCAACCTCAATCTGCATATGAGCAATTTATGGTCTGTTCCACAGTCTGCCCCTGCCTTGCTTTGGCTGATGATATAGAGCTTTTTCACCGCTGCTTTGCACAGATGTAGTCAATTTGATTTCTGTGTATTCCATCTGGTGAGGTCTATGTGTATAGTTATATTTTACATTGTTTAAAAAGGTATTTTCAGTTAAGTCACTGGTCTTGCAAAATCCTACCACGTACTATATTTTCCAATTACTGGTCCTTCCCCTTTGTTTCCAACCTTTGTGTTCCTATCACCAGTAATTATCAATACGTCTTGATTGCATGTTTGATCAATTTCAGACTGAGGAAATTGGTAGAATTCTTAAATATCATCATCACTAGCTTTAGTGGTTGATACGTAAGACCAATGATGATGAACTGGTCTTCCTTGTAGGCGTATGGATATTATCCTGTCACAGACAGCACTGTACTTCATGACTGATCTTGTTATGCTTGTGGGTTTTTTGGTTTTTTTTGTTTTTTTTTTTTGAGGATGCATACAATGTCATTGCTCTTCAATTTGTCATCACTGGCATAGTAAATAATGTGATTTTCAAATTCAAAATGGCCAATATCAGTCCATATCAGCTCACTAATGCTTAGCTTATCGATGTTTATGTACTCCATTTCATTCCATTTTCCCCAGATTCCTACTTTGTACATTCCATGTTCCGATCGTTATTGGATACTTACAAGCCTTTTCTCTTCATTTTGAGATGTGTCCCATCAGCAAGTGATAGCCCAAGGGCTTTACTTCATTCACATCATCACAGTCAACTCGACTTTGAGGAGGCAGCTCTTCCCCAGTCGCATTTTGAGTGTCTTTCAACCTGAGGGGCTCATCTTTGGGCACTATATCTGACAATATTCTGGTGCTCTTCATCATGTTTCAATATTCAATAATCCGATGCTGACAGTGTTCCACTGCTATTCATAAGGTTTTCAGTGACTAGATATTAAGAAGTAGTCGGTCTCCCCTTCATCCTAGTCTGTGTTCTTCAAGAAGCTCGGCTGAAACCTGTCTCCTGTGATGACACTGCTGGTATTTAAAATAGCCATCGTATGGCTTCCAGAAACAGCAACACACAAGACACTGCAGTAGGACAAACTGACAGACAAGTGATGGCTATTATCAGTCAATTATAATTAACTCATACAGCTCATGCTGTTGTTTTCACTGTGCTGATGTTTTCACATTCGCTGATTTTGTGAGATTTTCTAGCTACAACATTGCAGTAAATAGTATTTGTGAACCTGTATCAATAGCTATTTTGAGAATGAAGTATTAAGAAACTAAAGGAAAAGGAGAAAAAATTTTAAAGGCTACTGCTCTGTCACTAATAATGTTGTAACTAATAATGGTGTAATTCAATATAAAAGATTTTGCACAATAATATTGTTGTTGTTTTTGTGAGATGCCATCGAGTTGGTTATGAAACACTACCCAATCCTGCGCCATCCTCACATTTGTTTTCATGTTTGAGTCTGTTGTTGCTGCCACTATGTCAATCCACCTTCCTCTTTTATGCTGACTCTCTACTTTCCCAAGCATGATATCCTTCAGAGGCTGGTCCCTCCTGATAGTATTCATCGAATCTAAGAAACATTATATTTCAGAAACTTAACAATTATACTTGTCACATAGCCTATGCATAAAATTGATAATGAATGTTACTAAGATTTCTGTATGGTCTGGAATAGGAGGACGTCCATGGAGGATGAGGGGGTGACCCCAACCCTAATGACACCACAATTTCACCTCTCTGATCTCTCCTCCAACCTATAAATGTCAGTGGCTTTATTTTCCCAGGACTTAGAGATCTGATGTCTCGACTTGGGGGCTTTACTGAGTTCCCACTTGTTTCCCCTCCCTGTGTCTGGAAACGCTCAAGCATGTCTGTCCATTGTAGCCTGGTGATCCATGTCTTGAAAACTCATCTCATATATGCCTTAGTTTTCTAGTGCTGCTACAGCAGAAATACCACATGTGGATGGCTTTAACAACCAGAAATATCTTCTCTCATAGTTTAGGAGGCCAGAAGTCCACATTCTGAATGCTAGCTCTTGGAGAAGACTTTCTCTTTGCCAGCTCAGTGGAAAGGTGCTTGTCTCCTTGCAGCATCAGCAAGCCCAGTATTCCCTGGAGATCTCTATACACCTTGGCATCAATCTTCCCCTGGTTCTAGGAGCTTCACAGTACAAGGTACCAGGTCCAAAGGATGTACTCTATTACCGGCTCTTCTCTCTTGGTGGTAGTAGATTCCTTCTTTGTTCAAATCTCTCTCCTTTAATCTCTTGTAAAATAAAATATGTTGTCTGCCACACCCTTGGGAACCTCCCTCAGATTCAGGTGGTGATGAGATTCTACCCTGGGAGTCCTGGTGTGGCTCTGTAGACTAAGCACTGAACTGCTAACCATGAGGTCAGTGGTTCAAACCCACCAGCTGCTCCTTGGAAACTCTATATAGGATCACTATGAATTGGGACTGACTCACCAGCATTAACAACAACAGCAACATTCTCACCCTTAATCCTCTTATTGGTTTATCACATCAGATCACATAATAGGGAGAAGCTACATCTCAACAACCACACCACTGATAATCCTGACCTAGTTTAGATGACATAAAAGCTTAACTATCACAATATATTTTGCTACTTTTTGATCATTTCTGGCAGGAGGACAATCCTAGGCTCTGTTACATCATCTTAATCAGAAGTGGAAGATCCTTCACTAATCTTTTTTTTTTAATTAATTATACTCATCAACTTCATTTTCCTCAATCTAATCCATGCCATACAACCTGCTTTGAAAAGACCAGGTGTCCCCCATCTCAGTTCCCAACTTTGAAATATTTCCACTCTCCTTTCCATGTACTGGTACCCTGGGGACATAATGCATTGTATTGGGCTACTAACCGCAAAGTTAGGAGTGTGAACCCACCAGCAGCTCACTAGGAAAAAGAATCACTATACTGTCTGCTCCCATAAAGACTGATAGCCTCAGAAACTCTATGGGGCAGTTCAACTCTGTCCTATAGGTTCACTAAAAGTCAGAATGAACTTGACAGCACTAGGTTTAGTTTCGGGTTTTTTTTTGTTTTTGTTTTCCCATGTACCAAATTGGGGCCTCTCCTCTTACTCATAAATGCTGTAACCTTCCTTAAGGACAGGACTATGTATGGGTCTCCTGGGTACCCTTGCAGAGTGCCTGACCTTGTGAGTACCCAATCTCCTTACAGAGAATAAGGAGCATTTGAAATGTGATTCCTACCAGCTACAGGTTGGATTCTTTTGTGGTTCTGGGGATTAGAATTCAGAGATGATGTGAAAGTAAGTATGGACAATTCAGTTGCCCAGAGTTAAGACTCAGTCCCTACGTCTTCCTCCGCTTATTAAGATTTTCTTTGGATGAGTTGATAGACAAAAACAAAATTTTTGTAGTTAGTTTATTTTGTTTTGTTTTTTTTTGCCAAGGTGAAAATTAGAACAATAGTCCTGGAAGGAACAGCACTGTACCTGCCCCATCCTGCACTAAGGAATGGATTCTGAACCCAGTTAGTTGGAGGAATTACAGGTTTAGAACCTGAAGCAGCTATGTGGTGGGACATGTCTTGAAAGTAGGGTTGATTTAGGACCAAGCTAGCCAAACTACCCTGGAAGGAAGTCTGTTCTCATCACTCTTGCACCACCTCTTTGTTGAAGACTGAAGGGAAGACCAGTCTGGGGGGTCCTGCTCCTAAGAACACAGGGACACATTCTGAGGCCCTATGGATCCAGTCAATGTGTGCATTTGCATCACTGGGAACCTGTTAGTGGTCAGAGGTTAGAATGATGCACAGATAGAGTGATGCTCAGATTCTTGGCTCAGCTGCCAAATCCTATTGCACTTGTAATGTGGCTGATGTGAGATCCCTTCAGGGTGGCAGTAAAGCACATCTCGTTGAAGTAGGAGGGGGCAGGGTTTCAGCTGAGGTTGGACAGAGACAAGGAGGCACAGCAGGCCTCCAAGGAGCTGTGGTCTAAGCTTCTTTAGTTTTCAGGGGTTATCCAGGGCAAAAAGGCAAACATGACCTCATTTGAGTATGTGGACAGTATATCTGTCTTTTCAGAAAGTAGGGACTTCCTAAGTCGCTTTATGATGAACAGCTTTCTCTGTCCATGCCTCCTGGAACCCAGGAAAGTGTGGGGAGGAAAGTAAAGAAGACACAGACTTCTGTACTGACCTGAATCTTGACCATACTAGTGAGGCTTTAGTTTGTCTAATGTAAACTCCTGGGCCCACTGGACTTCCCAACCTTACAGCCTGTGAGGCATTTTCCACACCCGATGTTAGAATGTCTCTGTAAAGTCCTCAGCACCAAAGGCACGCACCACACAGGTCATCCTCAGCCCACAACCACATCCCAAGTATGGGGGAATGATTCTGCTACCTGGATGCTTTCCAAGACATCAAAGGAGGCAGATTCCCGGTGATCCTCAATGGTTTTCTGGGAACCCAGGCTGCTACTCCGGAGCTCAGCATCTTTGAAAGAAAGATGGAATAAGGACAGAGAATGGATGGTAAGTACCTCCAATGAGAAGGAATTGGAAACAGCATGAATGTGTGCTTTGAGACCACAGTATACGTGAGGACTCTATTTCAGTGTGTCATACAGGAGGTGGGAGGAGCAGAGTCTTTGCAGCCCACCCTAATCTGACCCTGACATGAGATGAGCACAACTGGATGCCTCTCAGTGTTCCAGTTGCCTTGTTTACATGTTGTTGTTGTTATGTGCCGTGGAGTCGGTTCTGACTCACAGTGACCCTGTACAGGGTTTCCAAGGCTGTAAATGTTTATGGGATCAGAAAGCCTCATCTTTCTCCCGCAGAACAGCTGGTAGTTTCGAAATGCTGACCCTGAGGTTATCAGCCTGATTCGTAACCACTACGCTACCAGAGTTCCTTACATAGCAAAGATAAAACTCTCCTGCCTCCTAGAGGAGTGTGGGGATAAAATGATGTGTTCAGGACGAACGTGAGTTGGTACCAAGGAGGTCCTTGGCAGTTACTATGCAATGTAGGCATTTCATAGCAGACCCTTTGGAGCTCATAAACAGTTGATCACAAACTTTCTGGATGCAACTTTGAAAAGGTTTTTACAAAAGAGTGTGGAAAAAGACCCCAGTATACTATGCCAGTGTTATCTGAATGCCAAGGATTTGCACAAGGGCTCCTTTCTCTTTGTTTGAATATTGTGAGCAGACAACAGTCACTATTGTTATTTTTCTAAGCAGAAGAACTAGAGCTGAGCATTATTTTCATACTGTATTATGTTCTGAAGAGTCAATAACCAGGATTATCTTGGAGTACTTCAACCTTCACCACAAATTATTTCGAGTAGAACAACAATATTTCCATTTTGCCTAAAAAGCCCTTGGCCCGCTCCTCTTCCTTCTGATTTTATATTTTTATTTACCCAGAACAATCATGCCTATAGAGGGTGATTTAGAAGAGGATGTCCCTCACTGCAGGAAGGCCTTTGCTTCTTCCTTCTTTTTGGCTCACCCAATGCCTGCTCTGCTTGAAAAGGTTTCTAAGCCATGACATCTGTTCTCAGCCTTTGGGCCTCAGCTCAGAGCAACCCTAAGACGCTCAGCCCAGCAGCTGTCCTTCCTTACATGGCTGCCACAAAGGTCGGCGAAAGTAGGGCCTGCTCAAGGCTCCCAAGCCATTGCTGCCAGCATGGGCACGCTGCTCTGTCTTCTTACTTTAATCATCTCATTGCCAGGGCAGCTGGCATCCTTTCTGCTTCCTCCTCTCCCACTGTGATTCTCTCGTGTTTGTTTTGGCAGCAACCCCTGCAGGCACCTCTTCACCCCTAGTCACCAGGTTACTAGCGCCCTAGTCCTGCTTCTGGAAAAAACATAGGCGATGAAATAGAATGACACTGTACAAGAAAATTTAGATGCCTAGGGAGGTGAGCAGGACATAGACAAAGAGATACAGAATGTTGAAAGAACAGTGAGAATCTCAAGAGAAGAGAGGACATAGGACTTAGAATCCCTCTTCTGACACGCTTTGGGGCAATAAAATATATCACATCTAAAGCTTCTGAATATGTCCTTCACCTGTATAAACGTCCAGCTAATGTCCAGATAATCTTTGCAGGACTTCTAGTGTAGTTGATGATGAGAGCAGCTTGCATTTCAGGTGGATTTATTTTATTATACAGTCTTTGGGTGGTTATTACATAGGCATTGGACACTGAGGCTTAACCCACAGTCAAGGCTGTATTCTTTGTAGTGCAACTAGTTAACGCTTGGCTGCTAATAGAAAAGTTGGAGGTATGAGTTCACCCAATGGTGCACTGGAAGAAAGGTCTGGCAATCTACTTTCAAACACTCACTTATTGAAAAGAATATGGAGCACAGTTCTACTTTGACACACACAGGGTAGACAAGAGAGTAGGAACTGACTTAATGATAACTGATTGTGTTTTTGGTTTTATTTTGCTAATGAGATACAACACACATGCACTAATATGCACAGCTTGTTGTTGTTGTTGTTGTTAAATGCCTTCGAGTCGGAGCCGACCCATAGCGACCCTGTACAGGGTTTCCGAGGGTGTAAATCCTTACGGGAGTAGAAAGCCTCATCTTTCTCCTGCGGAGCGGCTGGTAGTTTTGAACCACTGACCTTAAGGTTCGCAGCCCGATTCGTAACCACTACGCTACCAGAGCTAGTGACTTCAAACCTATGTCTATACCCAAGTAGTAATTACCATCTTGATGAATATTGAAAACATTTCCACCACACAAAAAGCTCAGTCAATATCCCCCTAAAAGAGCTGTCTGACTTTTAGTTTCATCACTTTCAATGGTGAGAAGCTACAGTTATTGCCCTTGTGAAGAGGAACCAGACAAGGATGCCTTTTATCACTTTTCTTCAATATTGTGTTGGAAGTCTTAGCCAGAGCTATAAGGTAAAAGAAAGGGAAATTAAAATTAAATTATAGGCAAATTGGCAAAGAAAAAGTAAAACTCTCTCTATTTAAAGATAATAAGATCCTATACTTACAAAATCCCAAAGACTCTGCAAGAAAATTATTGGAACTCATTGATAGATTTGGCAAAGTGCCAGGGTACAAGATCAACATAAAAATTCTGCTGGATTCCATTAAACTATTAAAAAGAGCTCTGAGAAGGAAATTAAGAAAGCAATAACATTGACAATAGCCACCCAGAAGATGAGATACTTGGGAATAAATTTAACCAGAGAAAACAAAAGACCTATACAAAGAAAATTACAAAACACTACTACGAGAAACCAAAAAAGACCTGTAGAAATGGAGGAATACACCCTACTCATGGGTAAGAAGAGATAACATTGTTAAAATGTCAACACTATATACAGATATAATGCAATCTCAATCCAGAGTACAACATCACTCTTTAAAGAGATAGAAAAACTAATCACTGACTTTATATAGAAAGGAAAGAGATCCCAGATAATCAAAGCATTATTTTTAAAAAGAACAACAAAATAGAAGGCTTCTTACTTCCCGATCTCAAAACCTACTACACAACCACAGTAGTCAAAACACTCAGATACTGATACAATGAAAAACATAGATCACTGGAACAGAACTGAGAACCAAGAAGTAAACAGTCAGGTCAGTTGATTGTTGACAAAGGGCCAAAATGTATTATATTGTTATTGTCATTGTTAGATGCCATCAAGTCAGCACCAACTCATAGTGACCCTATGCACAATAGAACAAAACACTGCCTGATCCCATACCAATCTCACAATCGTTGCTAAACCTGAGCCCGTTGCTGCTGCCACTGTGCCAATCCATCTCGTTGGGGGTCTTCCTCTTTTTCTCTGAGCCTCCACCTTACCAAACATGATATCCTTCTCCAATGAATGGTCCCTCCTGACAATATGTCCTAAGTATGAGAGATGAAGTTTGGCCACCCTGGCTTCCAAGGAGCATTCTGGCTATACCAGAGATTGGTTTGTTCTTCTGGCACTCCATGGTGTTTTTAGTATTCTACTCCAACACCATAACTCAAATACATCAATTCTTCTACGGTCTTCCTTATTCACTACCCAACTTCACACGCAAAAGAGGTTACTGAAAATACCATGGCTTAGATCAGGCATCCTTTACTCTTCAAACTGACAACTCTTCAACACTTTAAAGAGGTTTTAAATAGCAGATTTGCCTAATGTAATACATTGTTTTATTTCTTGACTGCTGCTTCCATGAGTGTTGATGGTTGATCTGAACAAAATGAAGTTTCTGACAACTTCAATCTTTTCTCTATTTATATGTATTATATGGAAAGAGATAGTCTCTTCAACAAATGGTGTTGGCAAAAATATAAATTCATTTGCATAAAAATGAAACAAGATCCTTATCTCACACCATGTACAAAAATGAACTCAACAGAGATTAAAGACCTAAATATAAAGTCTAGAACTATAGAGATCATCAATGAAAAAAAAAACAAGGATAAACTTAGGGTCTCTGTTATACAGTAAAAACACACAATCTAACAATATTGGAAACACACAAATAGAAGACAAAATGGAAGATAGGGATTGCTAAAAAAAAATAGACACTTATGTGTACCAAAGGATTTCATTAAAAGAGTAAAATAAGAAGACAAAGACTGAGGGAAAAATATTTGGCAACAAAATATGAAAGGACTACTCTAAAATTTTTAGAACACTTAAAACACCTCAATAAAAGACAAATGATCCAATTCAAAAGTGGGCAGAGGACATGGACAGACACTTCACCAAAGAAGACATTCAGGAGACCAACAAACATATGAAGAAATGTTTATAATTATTAGTCAATGTTGTTGCTGTTGTTAAGTGCCATCAAGTCAGTTCTTATTCATAGCAATCCTGTATAGGGTTTCCAAGGAGTGGCTGATGTGTTTGAAGCACCAATCTTGTGGTTCAAACCGACCTTGTGACCCAGTGCTTGAACCCACAGCACCACATCAGGATTTCATTAAAGAGATGCAAATCCAAACAACAATGAGACACCATCTTACTCCAGCATTAACAGCATAGTTAATCATAATAAACAGAAAACAACACATGCTGGGCTAGGGTGTGGAGAGATTGGGACCCTCCTACACTGTAGGACTATAAAATAGTGTAACCACTATAAAAGATAGCAAGGCACTTTATCAAAAATGTGGAAACAGAAATACATATGATCCAGTAATCCCTTTACTTGGTATATACACTCAAGAAATAAGAGCTATGATACAACTAGATATATGCACACTCATGTTCACTGCAGCATGTTCACAATAGAAAAAGATGGAGGCAGCTTAAAAGAATGGATAACTAAACTTTGGTACACAGAGATACACAGTGAAATATTACGCAACATTGAAGAATAATGATAAATCTGGAAAACACTTCACAACATGAATGAAACTGGAGGACATTATGCTGAGTAAAATTAATCAATCACAAAAGGACAGTGTATGAGACCACTGTTGTAGAAGTTAAGAG